ATGTGTATGTGTGTGTGTGTGTGTATGTGTATGTGTGTGTTTGTGTGTGTGGTTTGGGTCTGGTCCTATAGCTCTCAGCTGCCTACACATCCAGGCACAGGTGAGCAGTCCTTTTCGAATCGCTGATTTTACAATTTTGCCCACACAGACCCCAGATCAGCTCAGAGGGCATCGTGGTCACATTTGAGAGGAAGCGGCTAATTATTCCTCTTGTACCCCAGTCAGTTGGGGCCAAAGATGCAGGAGGGCACACCTGACACCCTCACGGCCCCCTGACCTATAGCTGAGTGGCTGGTGTTGTCTTGGGACTTGGTGTTGTGCCGCTAGCTGGCCTTTTAAATGAAGCAAAAAAGGGAATTAGACCTGAATCCAATTTCATTTGGGTCCACCTGCCCTCAAGATGAAATATTACTAATATACATCGTGGATTTGATTCCCCAAATTATGATTTGTGCATTCGAGCTGATCTTCTGCATATCAAGCTGATACATTACAGTGCTGGTCATCAGTAAAGCGAAGTAAAGCATCATGTCAAGCTGACCCACACTGTAGCCTGTCCTGTAGAACTGGCAGTGGCCCCTGTCACATGACCCGAGTGTCATCCATGGCCGTCATCATTAAGCAAACCAAACCCGTGTTGGTTGTTAACCTGTAATTCAGCCATAATCCTTGCTTGTGTCTTCCCAGTGTTGTATTAATTCTGGTTAATTTTGGACTATTTTTTTCCCAACTGTGACTTGGATTCTCCCAGTTTGCTTCAGTAAGTGCTTCACTGTGTAATTAAATGCAGTGCGTAGTAATATAGACATCTGCAGGGGCTGCGGAGGAGGCTGTCAGTAAAAAGCCTCAAAAACGCCAACTTCACCTAAATGCAGAGTCTAGAGTGACTGCTGATTTAAAAACGCATCAGTCATTCACTTTCCTGTTTTCACACAAGGTTTATGTTCCAGTATCGCGTCGTTCATAAAGCGCCACCCAGGGGGCGGGGCAACAGGGGCACTGGCACCAGCTGAAAGCTGATTGGCCCCCGGAGTGCCCCCTTCTTGTCACTCATCGATTCAAAACATATGATTGGCTAATGATAAAGTTGGCTCCTCTGTATGAATTATGGACCCTCTTATGTCCCTTAAAAAATCCTAGAATTGCCAGTGGTGTCACCTTATTGCAGCTGCTGCATTTCCTTCCTTCCTGCCCCCTCCCTCTAACCCACGTCACACTGCTTCCCAGCACATATGTCCCCCCCCAGCCTCGTGCTGCTAAAATCCCCTCACTTGCACACACCTCTTCCCTGCGGGTGTGTCAGTGGTATCAGCTTACAGATGCCAAACACCATCCTGTATTACGCTTTGCTTTTATTGGCTCCTGATTATTATTATTTATACGGCCCTGTCTGAGGCGGGGCAGTGAGAGTGACTGTGTGGTCATGTGACCTCATAAGCACCTAAGCCTCACTGAGCGTGTGTGGAGGGAGACCCAGTGTGTACCTGATTGTCCAGAGCGCCGAGTCATGTTAGCGTGCTTTGGTGAGAGCTCTTCTGTGGTCACCCTTGGGGGAGTTTGGAGAGCGGGTCACAGCCCCCAGGATGGGAGGATTAGTGTTAATTAGGGTCAGGCTCCCGGTCCCTGGCGCCGGAGGAATGCTTACTACATCTTTTTTTTTTTTTTTTTTAGAACTAGTCTGTCAGCTACATTCACGAGACCCAGCCTTAGTGTATTTAAGGCTATTTAATGCAGCATATTTAATGCAGCACATTTAATGCGCTGTTTTTTAAAATCAGATCTGCAGCTGTGTTTTGCATTAAATTATACATATATTTGCATTGCGTTTAAGGTCAAATTTTTAATAATCTTTATGGATTGTCGTTGTTTGCTCTTAAGATTTGCTTTTGGGGGAGATGTACGACTGCAGACTCCTTGGATTTTTATTAACCTCTTGGTGTGTGACTGTCAGGTAGTCAGACCTTTGCGATGGAACATCTTCAGCACCTTCTGCTGCTTGTTGATTTTTGTCTACAGCTTGGCTGAACATGGTGGGTACCTGGTCCAGCGGGTAGAGCTACACTTCTCAAAGCTGCTTCAGCACAAGGTGAGTCTCTGGACATCCCTACAGACACACACACACACACACACACACACATACAGACACACACACACACATACAGACACTCACACACATACAGACACATACAGACACACACGCACACGTATGCACACACACAAACACACAGACACACATACACACACAAATACACACACACATACAGACACACACACACACACATACAGACACACATACACATACAGACACACACACACATACAGACACACACACACACGCATACAGACACACATACAGACACACACACATACAGACACATACAGACACAGATACACACACACACACACACATACAGACACAGATACACACACACACACACATACAGACACTCAGACACATACAGACACAGATACACACACACATACAGACACACACACACACATACAGACACATACAGACACACACACACACACGCATACAAACACACATACAGACACAGATACACACATACAGACACACGCACACACACATACAGACACACACACACACACATACAGACACACACACACATACACACATACAGACACACACACGTCTTAATTAGGTTGCTCCTAACACTCTGCATCTGCTGCTTGCTGCAGTCTGTTTTCCCAAAGATGAGATTACCATAGCAACAAAATCAAATTTGTTCTGGAAAGGAGGGGTGTAGGTGTAGGTGAGTTTTTCTGGAATGGGGGTCAGGGGGTGGAAATCCGTCGGCATGGCAACGGAATTGCTGGTTCTTAATGAGGTTTTAAGCACATGCTGCAAATTTGGGTCAGCTTCAGGCAGCTGTGAATTGTGATTCAGAATCTACTTCTACGTCATTCATAAAAAGGTGATCTGGTTACTGTTTTTCATTGCTTTAATAGTAACTTAAATCATATTTGCCTGACAGAGATGTAAATGACACAGAATTCAAATAGTGTTTTTTTTTAAGTATTGAAAAGTATTTTAATTCTAAAGTATTTGCTTTAATGCATGTTTCACAGGTTTATATAATTTACATAATTTTCATAGCGAAGATGGTTACCTCTTGCTGTTTTTTGCTGGATAATTAATAGAACTATTATATGAGCATTAATGCAGTTTCTGGGTGTCTGGTTGGTTGTTCGTATATCTGTGCCCTTCCCCAAGGAGAACAGGCTGTTTACCTGACTGTTAAAATAGAAGAGTCCTGAAATTCCCTCCCATTGGACAATGTCACTCCCTCGGGGGGATAGAGCAAAGTGTGCACAGCCTTGTGGGAATTCTGCCGTCTGTATGCTCTTTGTTCACTTGCCTTTATACTTCAGCATGTTTTGTTTGTATATGCCTCCCTCCAAGCAAAGGCTGTTAGTATTTATAGGATTCTTTGCATCTCAGAATTCTGCTCTCTGTAACACATCACATCAACCACGTGATTTGTCAGCTGCTTATTTGGCTAGTCGACCAGGCAGTCCAGGGTAGAGTGCAAAGCCACATTTTTCTCTGTCTCTGGTTGTTTCTTGGGCCCATGTGCTTGTTAAACTGGCCCCATGGGGCCGTTTGACCTGAAGGGTGGCGCTTGTCCTGATTTTGCCGAGTTCATTGCATTTGCACGTTTTTTTTTTTTTTTTTTAACCAATCAGAGTCTTTATTATATGACATCACCACATTAATTAAAAGCAGTGTTATCTGATAAGCGACAAGAGGCACAGATTCCTAAAGTATCTGTTTTAGTATGTATGCCTTTTGTCAAGAGACACGTCATAGATAAACAGACAAAACATTGCAACATGCTCACCTGCAAAGGCTGTAAGGAACAGTGTAAGGGTGCTGATGATGATGATGATGATGATGATGATGATGATGATGATAATAACTACAGAATTAATGATAATAAAAAAGGCTTGAACCAGCAAGCTTCTGATCGCAGGCACAGAGGCTTAGCCTAGTGGCTACTCCTCTGTGGTTTTCCATCCGTGTGCATCTGCTGTCCCCCCCCCCCCCCCCCCACAGACCCGGAGCCCTCAGCTGGAGCCGCCATGACCAGCCGCAGTCGTGGACGCGCCGAAGGGGCGGGGACCTCGCGCAGGCTGCAGGTCCAGCGCTCGCAGTCCCGGGACATGATCACCATCCATTTTTCAGCTGTTGGCGCAGAGGATGGCGAGGAGGAAGAGGAGCTGTACAGCCCGGCTTCACTGTCTTTTTCCTCCGACAAACCGGAACAAGATCGTCGAAGAGTCAGACCGGTGGATTCTAGCGATGAGCTGCTGTTTGAAGGCATTGACCTGCTAGCTATGGAAGTGACCTCAGCTTCTGGTGGAGCCATATCACACATACAAGGTCCTCAGCTCTCATCGAGGCCTGCCACCAACCCCAACCCATCCGTCTCCTCCTCTTCCTCCTCTGCAGCTCCCAGCTCCTCCGCCGATCACAACCCCCCCTTGTCAGGCCCCTCCCCCTCCAGGTCAGCCACCATTTCTTCCAAACCCTTCCTGAGTCTGGTACGGTCACTGTCCACAGAGACAGAAGCCACACCGCCTACCAAGCTCCACCGGCAGTTGGTGAAGTCTTTGGTGAAATCCCTTTCTATGGACACATCCGAGGAAGACCCGGAACCTTCACCCTCGAACCAAACCAACAGTGACTCTAGAACCGCCCCCTGTTCCCCGCTGCCCTCCTCACAAGAGGTAGAGATGTGCCTTGACGATTCTCGACGGTGGCTGTCAGAGGTCACGTGTGAGCCGCTCCAGCTGCTCAACAGGTTTAGGGCAGACGAAGGCCGCACCGTGAACGTCTCCGGCAGGCCGAGGTCTCTGTCCTCCAGCATACAGGAGCTCAGCTTCGATGGCCATATGGAGACCAGCTACATCCAGAACAAGGAGCAGGATACCATGGACACCCAGGGGAAACTGGCACTAGTTCTGGACAGCTGCTCCATGTCTACCCTGGCCCGACAACAGTTTCAGGAACTCCGACAGCTTTACAGCCATGATACGGAGATGAATGCTGGGGTTGATGCTGAATTGGACAGGGAGCGGTGCAAGAATGCAGCCCAGGGGATAGACCGCAGCAAGAGGAAGGAGAAATGGGAGGAGAAGAACCACGTTGAGGAGGAAGAAGAGGAAACGGTGTCTCGAGTCCCCCACTGGCCGCTACTTGGTCTTGCCATGCTGGTCTATGGATGCCTAGTCTTGCCCCTGCCGCCATATTTTGGGGGAGTCCTGTTGGGCGTGGCCGCTGGCTTCATTCTGGCTACGTTCATGGTCTGGCTGGCCGCCCCTGGTTATTCTCGAGGCCACAGGCGGAACGAGGGCCTGTGGAACATGGCTCCCCTAGATATCCAGGAGCCTGGCATCTTCAAGGTGGGCTATGGACTTTGAAAGTGTTGTTAAGGATATTTTAGGTCAAGATGTTGTAATGGATGAGGATGATGTTTTTCATGGTATTGATGGTTTGGGGAAATGTTGGTGGGGACATTTGGGATGATAATTTTGATGGCCAGCGATAGAGTACTTTCACACTAATCTTTTGATATGGTGGCTGTCCTCATCAAGGGCTGGATGAATGAGATCCACAACTATGACCCTGAGACCTACCACGCCACCCTAACCCACTCGGTGTTTGTGCGCCTTGAGGGCTGCACGCTCCGCCTGTCCAAGCCCAACCGGAACGTCTCCCGAAGAGCCACATTCAATGAGCCCAAGCCTGACGTCACCTACGTCAGCCAGAAAATTTATGACCTGACCGATAGCAAGGTGAGGCTGTAACTGCCTGTGCTGCTCACTGGGGCTGAAATCTGTCTGTCCATCCATCCATTTTCCACCACTTATCCAGGGTCGGGTCACGGGGGCAGCAGTTTGATTAGAGATGCCAAGACCTCCCTCTCCTCAACCACCTCCTCCAACTCCTCTGGGGGGGGGGGGGACACTGAGGCATTCCCAGACCAGCTAAGACAAATCTCTTCAGCATGTCCTCGGTCTGCCAGAAACACCCCTCCTGGGTGCTGAGATGTAGAAGATATTTAACAGGCTTTCTCGGCAGAAACTTCAAGCGTTCTCTTTATCTTACCAAAGCTCCCCCAGTTACTTATAACCTTCAGGTTGAATGTGCCTTTAATCATAATAGTGGAGCTACGTACCACATTATGCTGAACACCATGTAAATCACTCTGGCTAAGAGCTTAAGGTGAGTGAACATACTGAAATGGTGCATTTGTGCTCCTCAGATATTCCTGATGCCACAGAATTTGGCCAGGAAGCGAGTATGGAACAAGAAGTACCCCATCTGTGTGGAGCTGGCCAGACAGGATGGCTTGATGTCTAAGGCTCCGGTTGACGAGGTGGGACCAGCGGACGCTGACAGGAGCGCTGGAGAGCACACCTTGTACCTTTTCGGCAGGACGGGCAGAGAGAAGGAGGAGTGGTTCCGTAGGATCTTGTTGGCATCTCAACTCAAATCAGAAGCCAAGAAGCTGGCGGGTCTTTCCATGCATAAGAGCAGTAAGTTACTGTACACAATCTTTATGGAAAAACTTCAGTCCTTGACTTGTGTTATGGTGTAATATGGAAGGGTAACCATTTAAGGGCAATGCATTGGAGTTATAGCCTCTTCATGGTATTGTATTCTCCTGATGATTTTGGGACTGCTCTGCTTCCACCACAGAAACCGTCTCAAAGTCTATTTGATGAATCTTTTTCAAACTCTGAAGCCACATTATGTGGGTGAAGATCTGGAAATGCTGAAATTTGCTGATGAATCGCCCCAAAATTAAAGCAGTGCCGCTTGCCGGCAGCAAATGGAATAGTGACTACAGACGACAACTTACCTTGTGAACATGATAACTTAAAAAGTATATGATGAATCTTATTAGCACTTCACAAAAACGTTACATTCACCTGATTTAATACTGAGGCAAATTCCACCAAAACTGACAGCAAAGGAAAAGATGGCTTTAGAAGACACTTGATGTTGTGTACTCTGTAACATAAATACTAAAATATTTGATGGGTGCTTTTCAAACTTCATTGTATAGGTGATGATCTGGGACCTATTTCATTGTGAGCCAGATCACACCAAAACTGAAGCGGTGTAATTTAGAAGTGGCACATCAAAGCACAACCTACTGATACAGATCTGGTGAAGCTGATTACAAGTCACACAAAGTTAGGTTTGGGAGTGGGAATTTGTTCTGGTACCAGAAAACACTTAAAGGGAAACCATTATCTGTATCTAGCAGGCACTTTTGTCCAAAGGACCATACAAATGAGGCAAATAGCACATTACAAACATACATACTGTCAAGGAGTCAACTAGGCGTAAATGTAGCTACCCTGAGCTTCCAATAAATGCCCAGGTTGGAACAGGAGACAAACAACTTCTATCATGATGTGTAGTCAGTGATCACTTTGTGGTTCCCGAATCAATGGATTCTAGGGAGTCTTCATGTATCTGTCTTCTCTGGCTCCTCCCTCCAGCTGCCCAGCCTACCCACAGTCATAGTAGCAGCCAGCCGGTGGTGCTGTCTCACAGCCGCACCAGCAGCCGGAGCAGCCTCGATGAGGTTCTGCTCTTGCAGCCCCTGCAGAGGGAGCTGACGGGTGGACTGAGGCAGAAGGCATTGCTGGACTACAGCATCTACATGGCCCAATATATCCCCTCTCCTCCTGGCAGCCCTACCTCCAGCTCTAATCATAGCGGAGAGAGCAGCCCTGGAACCAGAAACAAGGTAGGAGGGATGGATTGAGAGGAGCGGCATGTGGTGTTTGATTGAAAAGTGCAGTGTGTGTGTGGTTTGGAATTGAGAGGAGCGGTGTGTGTGTGTGGTTCGGGATTGAGAGGAGCTGTGTGTGTGTGTGGTTCGGGATTGAGAGGAGCTGTGTGTGTGTGTGGTTTGGGATTGAGAGGAGCGGGGTGTGTGTGTGGTTTGGGATTGAGAGGAGCGGTGTGTGTGTGTGTGGTTCGGGATTGAGAGGAGCGGTGTGTGTGTGTGGTTCGGGATTGAGAGGAGCTGTGTGTGTGTGTGGTTTGGGATTGAGAGGAGCGGGGTGTGTGTGTGATTTGGGATTGAGAGGAGCGGTGTGTGTGTGTGTGGTTCGGGATTGAGAGGAGCGGTGTGTGTGTGTGGTTCAGGTCTTGAACAGCAGGTATTCCATCTGTCATTAAATGACCTGCTACCTGGGTGCTTAGTGAGAGTCGCTATTCTCATTAGACCCATTAGTCAGCGGTGGCACTAATGAGGTGGCTGTCTGGCTTGGTTACCATGAGGTATGTCCTCTCTATCAGAGCTTGGTGTTTGGGGCTTGCCTGTTTTTGCTTCACAGTTTAGGATAGAGAATCTACCTTAGCACCCAGCATGAGGGTGGACAGAAGCCCCCGTCTGCTTTGCTTGTCCCTCAGTGGCTGCATTGTTTTTCTTCCTTAGCTGCCAAGCAGTCCAAGTGAAGAGGGTGAGCCAGTGGCTTGGGTCAATGCCTTTCTGGGTCGGGCTCTCTGGGACTTCCTGAGGGAGAGACACTGGGCCGACGCGGTGTCCCGGAAAATCCAGATGAAACTCAGTAAAATCAGGGTGAGGCCTTTAACCACAAGCAGGTGTTTTTTACTTTACTGTTCATTATATATGTTGTCCAAATTGTTGTTCTTCAAACACGGAGAAACTAAATTTCATCCTGACCCGTTGCGGAAAAAGAACGCAGTTACGACTTTAATCAAATTCCCGCCTGTGTTCCAGCTACCGTACTTCATGAATGAGCTCACACTGACAGAGCTGGATATGGGAATCTCAATCCCCAAAATCTTACAAGCATCTCAACCCACTGTGGACCACCAAGGTAAAGCCCACCTGTGTACTTAGAAGACTGGTGACACTATGAAACATGTTAGGAGGCTCAGAAACACATTGTACATACAGTATGCAGGATAGATTTGTTCTCCTCTGTAATTAGAGGTTAGTATAGTCTGGTATAGAAATCTGATCATGTGACATTATTGCCCGGCTCACAGGTTCAACGACTGCAACATCTACCCACTGTGTACAGTAAAATCAAACGATTGAGTTGAATCATTACAACAGCACCATAGCCTTGATGTTTGTTCATCGGTCTGTAAATGTGTTTCCCGCAGGTTGAATTATGTCTTTATCTGCCTACTTGGCTGAACAGCGAAAGGCGTCTCACATGGCTGCTTGACAATGCTAAGGTCCCTTAAGGGCCATCGATTCCCACTGTATCCAGGACTATCTCTGGTAGCAGGTTGACGTTCAGAATATAGGCTACCTTCCTGTATTTCTAAAGCCATCCTATAATATTCACTCCTACATGAATGAATCGCATTCCTGTTACAGAATTAGCACTTTCCATCGGGTCTAACAGAATTGGGTTTGCTTTATTTTTTTGCCACTCATCCTATACACCTGATGTGTTCAATGTTGTGTGTAATATTTGGGTACCATAAGAAGATCGTTCCATCCTGCAGGTTTGTGGTTTGATCTGGAGATGTCTTACAATGGCTCTTTCCTGATGACCCTGGAGACCAAGATGAACCTGGCCAGACTGGGGAAGGATGCAGAAGGGTTAAGGTTTGGAGAGTCGGGCAAAGACGGGTGAGAACGGAGGAACCTGCCGCCTTCTCATTATTATCACAATAACGTGCTGATTTTTTTTTTTTAAACTCCTGTTGCTGTTCTGTAGGTTTGGTTTCCGCTTTTATGTAATAAATGTGGCGTTCTAAGTTTATCTTGTTCCCGTTGTTAGTGTCAGTTTCAGGATGCTGACATGTTGAGCATCCTGCTCGGAGGGCTTTTTAGCATGTCGTATGTAAATTAAAAACAAACGTAAACCTAATCAACAGGCCATTGCCGCAGCCAGCAGGATGCTTCAGCATGCTAACGCCTCCCTCTCTCTGCTACTGTGTTCTGTCTTTCTTTTGCCTTGCGGCATATGCACACCTGGAACCTCTCTGTACTTGGTGAGTTGGGTTTGGCCTCACGTCTTCATTTTGCGATTTCCTGAACTTCGTTATCCTATATATTTCCTTACTGTGATGTCAGATACCGCCACCTACATAGTACAAAACAGGTGCAATATGTGACAGTTCTACTGAGGTAGGATGTTATTTGCTTGCTTCCCCTGTGAGAGGGAGGGATCAGAGCGAACTGGATATGTCACTGGGCTGCTATAGAAGCGCCCGCTGCGCTCCTGGCAGGAGCCTGCAGCAGTGTTTCCCAGTCCGCTCCTCGGGGACCCACAGTCGGTCCACATTTTTGCTTCCTCCCTAATCTGGGCATGGAGCTGGGAGAGAGCAAAAATGTGGACCAACTGTGGGTCGCTGAGGACTGGACTGGGAAGCACGTTTTTGCTTCCTCCCAGCTCCCTGCCCCAGTCCACATTTTTGCTCCCTGAGCAAAACATGGACTATCTGTGGTTCCCTCAGGACTGAACTGGGAGACACTGCTGTAGTGTAAAATCCCTGTTGTCTAAAGCCCTACTAGACTGGCTGGGAATATATTACTTGTTCACACAAGGGTTTTGTTGCCTAGCACCCTAACTCCGTAGACTGAAAAGCATGCTCTTAGTTCCAAATGCAGTAAAATGAGAGTTAGTAGTATCTCATATTATGTTGCCCCACTGAACCTCTTATTTATGAAAATGAGCCTTAGCAGTAAGTAGTACGATTCCTGTGTGCAGCTTCCTCGCTGACGTTCATTGGGTGATTTTTGTGGAACACACTGCTCCCTTGTGGCCTCCTGTTTATTCAGGCTCTGCTGGACACCAGTAGCTGAGAAACTGCTTTTGTGTTTAGAATCCAAAGGGGAAAAAAAAGCACAAATGCTTCTTACACAAGATTAATTAATTCGCTTGGCAAGTGCTGTTGTTCCTCAGAGCAGAGGAACATCGACCATCCAAACCATTTAGATGATTAGATATATTCTTAAAGGGATTAACATTAAGTGCCTTGCTGAAGGGTGCTGCAGGAGTGTCTGAGCTATGGAGGGCTGTGGTACCACTAAGAACGGTTAACTGGTGTTTTGAGGGTGGCATTGTGGCTTAGTGGGTAATGCAGATGACTCACGCTGTCTGGGTTAGAGGTAGGAATTCTGCTTCTTCTGTTTGTGTGGAGTTTGCATGTTATCCCAGTGCTGCATGGGTTTTCAGTGGGTGCTCCAATTATCCCCAGCAGTCCATAGCCTAAACCCCCCCCCCCCCAGCCCTGTTCACGATAAGCAGTTAAAAGATGCATGGGGTTTTATGAAAATGTCATTCCTATGGAGAGAAAGGGGTGGTTTCATTGTGATAATGCCTTTGGCGTGTTTCAGTCCTAGGCCTCGGACGTACTGCCTCGCCGACAGCGACGAGGAATCATCCAGTGCCGGCTCATCTGATGAAGAGGATCCCCCTGAAATTCCTGCCGACAAAAGCCTACTGCCTGGGGCAGAAGGGTGAGATACTCCGGAGTACAATTAGGGCACTTTTCCACTGCCATCAGGAACCAAGCCGTACTGCGAATTGGCGCTTTTCCCCTGCCACCAGGAACCGACCCATACCCAAGCCATACTGTGATCTGGCACTTTTCCATTGTAATTTACATGAGCCATACCTGGCCCTGCTTCCTAGCTGCCAAAGGCATGACCAAACCAGTAATACAGTAATACAACATAGTAAATCCTGATGTACACTGCATGAACAGTAAATAAGCATCTCTTTGGTTTTATGTCACTGTCAGTCTCCACACCTTTACCGAGCCGACCCTGCTACAGTGGATAACCGAGATGATCTGGAACCGTTCTGCAGCTAGTCTCTTTTCTTGGTATGGCTTGGGTACGGGTCGGTTCCTGTATACCAGTGGAAAAGTGCCATTGCTCCTAGATGGCCAGTTTATTTCCATTTGGTTTTCTGCCCTTTTTGAGAAATCTAAGGGATCAGCAGCCAATCAGGAACTT